AGTTATCCCGTCTCATAGCGCAAAGTCACATGACTTTTTCAATGCGCATGGTGGAATTTCTTCGGTAAATGTGTTTCCATCGTAGTTTATGCTTTCGAACAAAAATAAAGCAAAAACGGTAATATTGTGAAATATTATTATGCTTTAACATAACTGTTTTCTATTTTAAAACATTTTAAAATGTAATTCATTCATTGCAAAGGTAAATTTTCAGCATCATTACTCCAGTCTTCAGTGTCACATGATCTTTCAGAAATCATTCTAATATGCTGATTTGGTACTCAGGGCACATTTTTTATTGTAGTTGTGCTGCTTAATATTTTTGTGGAAATTGTGATACATGGAAATAAATACTGACACCCCAAAAGTTTGAAAGGTAGTAATGTAACATGCACCCATTAAGGATTCATTTGATGTAATTTGAATACTGCTGTGCATGTTTTTCATAGGCGATGCATTATAGACTTTATAGTATGCATGAGGGTGACTATTATCTCAGGAGAGTGTCTCCATATAAGTGATTAAAACTCAGCGCAGCTCTTAATTTAATGGCCTTGTTGCTGAAACAGCATTATAGTCTATGAGTATGATACATCAAACATGAGGGATTATTTATAGACGTCTTGGGTTCTTACTTTGCTTGTAATTATTTACACACCCTGAAAAGTAAGCCAGGATTTAGGTGATATGTAAATGTGAGAACTATTTACATATTAATTTGACTCGGATAAAAACCAAAGCAATACAGAATCGAATAGTTGTTAATAAGGAAAAACATCTCAACAGGAACATTGAGATTACTTCATGAATTCTACAGTTCTCCGATGATTATTGTCAGCATTTCTCTGTGGTTGTTAAGTAACATTGCATTAATAAATCACATTTCCTACATTCAATTAGAAATGTCAGCATATTGCATCATGGACTGTTGCACCTACACAAGTCTCACTGCTGAGGGATAAATAGGAAACTAGAAATATTAGAAATCTAAGACACACACACACATGTTTGTTTTTTGTAAATTGTGGGGACTTTCCATAGACTTCTATTACTTTTATACTGACCAAACAATATTTTCTATGCCCTAACCCAAAACCTACCCCTTACAGAAAACCTGTTTGCATTGTTACACATTCAGATAAACATAATTTACTATTTTTAATCATTTTGTTTTCCCTCGTGGGGACCTCAGGCCGGTCCCCACAATGTCAAAAATTTCAGGTTTTACTATCAATGTAGCATAAACAAGTACACACGCATCAAAGCTGAATTTTCAGCATCATTACTCCAGTTTTCAGTGTCACACGATCCTTCAGAAATCACTCAAAGATTCTGATTTGATGCTCCAGAAACATTTCTTATTGTTATCAATGTTAATATTTTTGTGGAAACCGTGATACATTCCCCCATTTTATTAAAAATTATTTAATAAAAATTAAATAATTTTTATTTAAAAAAATATTTATTATATTTTAAAGGGGTCATATGATGCGATTTCAATTTTTCCTAGCTCTTTGGAGTGTTACAAGCTCTTGGTGCATAAAGAAGATCTGTAAAGTTGCAAAGACTAAAGTCTCAAATCCAAAGAGATATTCTTTATAAAAGTTAAGATTCAGCCACGCCTACCTAAAACGGCTCGTTCTAACACGCCCCCACATGTCTAAGTCACGATGTAGGAAGATTTGCATAACACCATCCAAATGTTCACGTAAAGAAAGAAGACGCAACTTTTATTCTTGCTGTAGTATTGTTGCCGCCGCCATGTCATGAAAGGCGCTGTGTTTCGTTGTGAAAGCAAAACTACTTTGTTTGGCCTTCCAAAAGAGGACGATATCTGCTTTCGTCATGCCTGGACCTGATCCGTGCTGGTCACTGAGGAAATACAACTACTTTGCGCTGTGGATGCGCATTTTTAGAATTTATGCGCATCTTGGTGTTTCCATCCAGCGTTTTTTTTTATGCAATATTCCAAAATGCACATAAAAGTAGGTGGATGGAAACATAAAACAATACTGAATAAAACTATCAATTTTCTTAAAAAAAAATAATTCTACTGACGACAAACCTGGTAGGGTATATGACATTTAATAATTTTGTTCAACTCCTGACATGATCATGTAAAGCAGTTGTATTTTCACTAGTTACAAAATACGTTACACTAGTTTATATGGCATTTCACTGCACCCACAGCCTAAGGTATTGTATTCGTGAAAGCTCTCCATACTTGCCATCTTCAAAGGCACACTGCCATCTGTTGGGCTCACACTACAAAGTACAGACAGAGGGAGTTCAACTGGACTTTGACTACTTGGGATTCTGTCCTGGTTTCTTCCTCTGATCTATTCTGAATTTTTGCCACCTCTGCTATCTCAACTTCATGTTTGCGCATTCTTCAAACAAACTCTCTTATTTTTTCTAGAAAATCAGGTAGTGTTCTTCTTAGTGGTACATAGTATGGCCTTTCTTGAGTAAAAACTAACCAATCAGAATGAATAGTTCAAATTATGTAATATTGGTGTAACCTGAACGGGTAGCCTCTAGGTTCAACCTCTAATTAAATTAAGTTTATTTTTAATTATCCATGTCATAGCATTTAAATGAAAAATAATTGTGCTTGTTTAATTTATTGGATTTAGTGGATTACATCAAATGAGAAGTAGAGCTCCTCACTGCTCGTAATCCTGTGCCTTCCTAAATGCTGGGCTCACAAAAAGCATTTAAAAGTGCATTTAGAGGCTTAAATAATGAGAAAGTAATTTGAAAACAACCTGATTTTAAAAACCTCTAGTCAAAGTTCATTTCACTTGCACGTAGTGCAACTTTTTGAGGCTGTCTGGAGTCCCAGATAGTTTGTTTCAAGAGGTGAAACAGTATCATATGTTGCATCTGATTCAGCAGTATGTTATTTTGGTCACTGGTCCAGGGAGCCTCTAAAAAATGAACAAGAAATGTAATTTGCTCTAATGTAAATCTGCCTATTTTAAATGTACATAAACAGACTGTAGAAATGACATGTGATGATTTTTTGGTAAAGAGTCCAGGCAGGGGCCAAAGGTTTGTTTGAATATAGAAAAAGAAACTAGATGACACTGTAACAGGCTACAAGAAATGCTGATGGGCTGAAGGGATAAAAGTGAACTGTGGTCTCAGTCCTGCAGATGTAGGCACACACACACACTACATTACTCACTGTCTGCACACACAGAGGTGCTTTGTCAATTATTTACCACGGATGTTGCAGCTCATACACACGTTGTCCCCTCACACGCTCCCTGAGCGGTTTGACAGAGGTTACATATTAAATACTGCAAAGACCTGCATATAACATGGACTAAAACATATCTTGATTATTACAGAAAGATAATTAACTACAACATTGGAATGTAATTGGGAGAGTGGCAGAAGGGGGAGGATCAGTGAAAGAGGATGAAAGCAAAAATAGACGAGGAGGGAGAGAACGATGCTGTGAGAAAACATGACATCAGGTTGAGTGTCTAGTCAGGCAGTGTTGCTGAACAGAAGCAGCAGTATATTAGATAGTACACAAAATGTGGTATATATAGTTGTAGGTTATATATAAAGTTTTTTTTTTTAAAGAAATGAATGCTTTTATTCAGCAAGCATGCATTAAATAAATACAAAGTACAATAGCCGTTTATAATGTTACAACAGATTTCTAATTTCAAATAAATGCTGTTTTTCAGAGCTGTTCACCTTAAAAAAATGCATCATGGTTACCACAAAAATATTACTCAGTTTTTAAACATTGATAATAATAGTAAATGTTTCTTAAGTAGCAAATCAATATATTAGAATGATTTCTGAAGGATCATGTGACACTGAAGACCAGAATATGCTGAAAATTCTGCTTTGCCATCACAGTAATAAACTACATTTGAAAATATATTAAAATAGAAACGGTTTTTGCACTGAATTTATTAAACCTATAAATTGAATACCAAAATAAATGGAATTACTTGTGATTAATGTAATGTTATTTTTTATTTTCAGAAAAAACCCCACTAATGACAGTCTTTTTGGAACAAAATAAATAAATAAATAAATAATAAAGGACGAGTGCAAAACCGTGTTAGACTCTTATATCAGCACTCTTGGAATGCTGCTTGACCAATCAAATTCATATACAGTATACTGTATATTTAATGTAATACGACTGGTCCAAGAGTGCTGATATAGAATAAAACAGCTGGGGGACATTTCACGGTTTGTATCGCTTGCTTGTGTTAACAGCACAACCAGAAGCTAGCGTGGAATTGTGTGATTTTTAATGGAGCAAGGAGTGTGTATTTTCTCATTTTAGGATCGCTCGGAGCGGCATTTTTTCATCACTGAATAGGAAGCGTAAAATGGAAAACCTGGAGTGGAGCATATGCTACTTTCAAGCCATGTCTTGATTTGAATAATGTTATATATGAGCTCAGTGCACATAAACGGAACCACAAAGCCATTTTACCTGTGGTCATGTCGGTTAAAAAATGATAGCAGAAGCAAGTACTATACCATATATTTCTAAAAGGCCTGTATACAGTTTTATGAATGCTATTTTAAACCTCTTCTCACTAATTTGTTCCCTCCACTCCTCCATCTGGATCATGGCTAGCACATAGCGTTCAAAACATTTTCTGGGTTTTTACTTGAGCCCTGGGGCGCCGCACTGGCGATGATCCATTTGACCAGACAGCATTTCATGAGGGACTTGCGGGAGATGCGCGGCTTCTGCCACTTCCCGTCGCTCTCCTTCTGCCCGCTGGGGTCCCCGTCCCGACCATTGGCATCAGGCAGCAGACCTCCATCGACGCCCTTCTGTCCATCTGCCTGGAGGACAAAGACAATGAGAAAACACATTAAAAGAGCCTTGAACTTAAAAGCAAGCCAAGGTGGTCGCACAGAAAACCATCTCTTTGAATGTACTGCTATTACAACCTTCACTGTCTTCTTAGATATGTTATTTTTAGTTTATTAAAACATGTAGATACATATCAAATTAAGGAGGAGCAGATGATTCTGATAATACCGATCATTTACCATGATCATGAATCAAATTATGAACCAGATGTAACATTTTTCTTTCTTACCTTAAAACAGTGTCAACTTAATCCTTATATTTTACACAGATTCCTACAACTTCCATTATCACATCAGGATGGTTGTGGGGATTTTACCCCTGTAGTTAATATTTGTATCACTTTTTAAACTGATGGCGTTGTTACGACGCTCCCCAGCCACCCACAGACAGTTCCACCATCAGCAACAGAAATCACAAACACATCAAAGATGAATAAGGTGAGAGACGTGCTAAAAGTGATACAGAGAAAAACATATAAAAGTAAGAGTGAGGAAAGTGTCTAAGGAATTGCAGGTTTAAAGAAAAATATTAAACGTGTCTTCAAAAATGCGCTTGTCCTCATGGAAATGCACACATCTGTGAGAATTCGCTTGCGTGTGCGAAGTATTGTTCATCTTGAATGGTGTGAGGAATCCTGTGAGGGCCCTCACTTTTTTCTTGTTCTTATTTGAATATGAAAATACAGTAAGCTTTGCTCTGAACATTAAGAGCATCGCTAAATAATTCAACCTCCTTAAAAACAGCATCAATAAAACATCAGGGGCCAGCATCATTTTTGAGGGCCGGCATGTGTTAAATATTGCCATGAAAGAGAATTTGTATTACTCACTGAAAGAACTACAAAGTACATTTTTAATTCTCCAAAAATACACAGAATTTAAGCACTTAAGAGTTGTAAATATCTACAAGCACTAATTTGCTTCACTACACATCTGCCCTGACAGGCAGTGGGGAGTGTTACATAATCACGCTAGCAAATTCATCGCAGAGGGCAAGACTGTTTCTTTTCTCACTGTATTTTTTGTGTTTTAGTGTGATTTGGTTGATAACAATGCTCAGTATCATGTGGGCATTTATGTATTTGTGCTGGACTGTCACGTTGTCACCTACAGACCTTGGCACCTGCTGCATTATTGACATGACTATAGTGAGTCAGCCGAGTGTATCGTGTACGGTAAGCAATGTCAACATAGCAGGCTCCAGTTAATCTCTGCCTTGACCACAGTGACTGCTCAACCCGTCCCAAACAACCACATATGGCACCTTCAACACAAACAGTCCTTGATATCCCCACAGGAACACCAGGGTAGCTGCGTCAGTGGCACTGCCCTGGTACGAGAGAAAACAGAGCAGCATGATATACAAGTGAATTTGTTGAGAATGATGGTGATTCTAGCTTATAAAGGTTGCAGATTAATTGTTGACTTTCTTGCAACAACTTCATAACCTTTGTCTTGACCCCTACCAGAGTAAACTTTCAATACATCAACTGCTTTTGGATTGAGTGAGTACACAGCAATGTGACTACACAAGAAATCACACTAAAGCAACACTGGTTGACGCAACTCCCGAGCAGTGCTATCCTAGTTTATTCTAGAGCAGCATTAACCAAACAGATTATAGAGCAGCACTATCTGAGCAGATTAAAAACTGACACTAGCTGAGTAGACTTCAGAGCAACACTATCTGAAATGATTCTAGAGCAGCACTATCTGAACAGATTATAGAGCGACACTAGCTGAGTAGACTTCAGAGCAACACTATCTGAAATGATTCTAGAGCAGCACTATCTGAACAGATTATAGAGCGACACTAGCTGAGTAGACTTCAGAGCAACACTATCTGAAATGATTCTAGAGCAGCACTATCTGAACAGATTATAGAGCGACACTAGCTGAGTAGACTTCAGAGCAACACTATCTGAAATGATTCTAGAGCAGCACTATCTGAGCAGATTAAAGACTGACACTAGGCAAGCAGACTTCAGAGCAACACTTTCTGAAATGATTCTAGAGCAGCACTATCTGAACAGATTATAGAGCGACACTAGCTGAGTAGAATTCAGAGCAACGCTATCTGAAATGATTCTAGAGCAGCACTATCTGAGCAGATTAAAGACTGACACTAGGCAAGCAGACTTCAGAGCAACACTATCTGAAATGATTCTAGAGCAGCACTATCTGAGCAGATTAAAGACTGACACTAGGCAAGCAGACTTCAGAGCAACACTTTCTGAAATGATTCTAGAGCAGCACTATCTGAGCAGATTAAAGACTGACACTAGGTAAGCAGACTTCAGAGCAACACTATCTGAAATTATCCTAGAGCAGTGGTTCCCAACCAAGTTCACCATTATTGACTACGTTTACAAGGACATTGTAACAATTCATCCACTGAAGCGAGCGTAGTGAAGAACCCAAGTGCAGTTTATTTACAGGTGATCCAAACAATAATCCAAACAGACGAAGACTAGAGACACAGACTTGACTTGACGAGGCATGAACAGACTTGACGAGGCTAGGCATGAACAGACTTGACGAGGCATGAACAGACTTGACGAGGCATGAACAGACT